TAGAAGATGATTCAGCCTAATCAAAAAAAACCATCCATTTTTTACTTGGATTTTGCATTTTCTAGAGATTTGACTAGGTCAGGATTTTCTAGCACTAAGAATGGGGTCTCACAAGTTACCCCTGAAATTCCAATGGGGATGTAAAAACTAACATTACATATGAATAATCTGTATATCACTATATATATTATATTGCAAACAACATAGAAAATACATATTTAAACAGCCTTATACATTAAATATAGTCTTAAACTTTTGGTTTCTTAACCAAAAAATTTTCGTTGATATGTATTGCAATAAACATTTCAACTTCACGTTACAAAAATTGCAAAAAAGTTAACAAAGTTAGCAAAAGTTATATCTATACTTAAAACACTTATAACTAGTTAAAAAAAGGTTAAGATAAGTTTCCTAACTCTACTTACAACTAGTTAGTAACTCCGTTTCTAACTATCATAAGTGTGCTGCTAAGTATGATAAGTATGTAAAGTATGCTAAGTCCCAGCGTACACTCTCCGTATGGGGCCGGAACTATGAAACCTACCATGTTGATTACCAACTCGGTCAGCCTCTGCAAGATGCACACGCCGACATGTGTTGGCAAAGCCCGGAAGAAGAGCAAGGCCCGGGCTCAAAGGCGCAAAGGGAAGTCATTGCGAAAATTCCTTTGCCGGCAGTATGTTGACCGTGCTGGTCGGAAGCGGTTTTGTGGAACCCGTCGCCTTAAACAATCACAGTTGCTTGACTTAGCTTGGGATGGTTTGGGTAAACATACCACACAACCTGTGTCTTGAGAATGGTCACGCTTGTTGTTTGTTAGAGTATGTAGTTTTGACAGTTACCAGTAATACAAGACCCCATCAAGCTTTATACAAAACCCAATTTCAGTCTTGGTATAGTTGCCCAACCTGGATAATACCAAAAAACTTATGGGATACATCTGTCTGACTCCCTGCATCGTCCCATCCCCTCTTCCAAAACCGTTGGTTGTTGCTCTTTCAGGGTTTATCCGGCTGGATTTGCCAAAGCTGTTGTGGAGGAGATTCCAGAGATTCGCTTGGAACCACGTACCTTTGGACTTGAAGTATCTTGCCTAACATTCCTGTGGGGCTTTATTCATGTAAGCATTTACCAAATCTATATATATCTAAGGGCTGCCGCCCCTGCCGCCGACCCCGGGAAGAATACACAGACACACTTTCAAGAGCGTCACGAATCCTTTCCGACTTGTACGCTCAAGATTCTAGGATCGTTTGTTTTGCACTTATGAAAACTCTCACGAGGATTCTGGAAGCAACTCCGTGGATAGTGATTTGACAGCCTGATGTCCCTTCTGAATCCTTAGAAAAAGATCGTTTCTTCTGCTCCAGCCGCTGCTGCCACTGCCAAGCTCCAAACTGCAGCTCTCAACCC